TGATGAAAACTGTCTGATGATATGACTATTACAGAATTTTTGAAATATTCATGTGACTTAGCCGCCCCTTCAATGCATACTCTCTTCAATAGTATATTTAACACAGGGGTGGTCCAGAGATATTATAGTTCCAATTTTCCAAAAAGAAAACAGTCGCGACCTAAACAATTACAGAGCAACCAGCCTCCTAAATGTATTTAGCAAAATATTCACTGGTATTCTAAATCAACATCTAAAAGCTTGGGCAAATGAATATAACAAAATTCCCGAGGTACAGGCGGGTTTCAGGGGGGTACAGCACTATTGATCATTTGTTCACTCTATCAGCAATTATTCAAAGATACCTATCACGAAGAGGTGGGAGGTTGTATTGCTTATATGTCTACTTTCAAAAAACCTTTGACTCCGTTGAAAGAAATTGCCTTATGTATAGGCTGAGTTTAGAGGTATAAATGGGAAAATGTACAATATTTTGTATATATAACGATGTTAAATCTTGGGTTAGGATTGGAGAGTTTCAAGACATATCCTCACCTAGAAAGTATTCACACAGAATATTGTAAAATATATTTAGCAAGAACCACATCTTCAAGTTTGTTTTTTTGAGACTGCGACGACTTCCATTATTTTGCTATTATTCAACACGCTGCATTAAATACTTGCTGAGGGTTACCAGGTTAGGGAACGAGCGTCTGCCAAATAAAGCTTATAAAATGCTTTTAAATATGCACAATCAAAGCAAACGCACATGGGCTACTGATATAATGATTGTTGAAAACAGTGAAAATGTTCTATTTGAGTTCAAAAGCCGTGCACAAGGTATAATAGTTTGGTACTCGGATATATGTACGACGGAAAAAACGGATCATTATCGACAATTTAAATTTAACTTTGGCAGAGAAATGTACTTAAAGCTTTCATTCAACACAATACTTCGTGAAGCATACGCCCGTTTAAAGTGTTCAGATCACCCCCGTGGCTATAGAAGTCGGTAGACACAGATGAATCGCCAGAGAGTATAGAATTTGCTATCTATGTTTGTCTGAAATTGAAGACGAGTTCCATTTTCTCCCCAGTCTTTTCAGGACCATGCAGCATACACCTTGCAGGATTTTAACAAGATAATGGCACCAGACAACCCGACTGGTATTGAAAGTGTTGCGTTTATTTTGTTTTCATTTATTTAAAATTAAAGAAATTGTAATTTGAGTCTTTTATATTCTATTTTCAAACCTATGACAGAAATGTAATAATTTATTATTATTGCGTACATGGGCCAGAGGCCTAAATACGAATAAAGTTATTATTATCATTCATACATGTATATGCAACTAAATTGTTTCTATATAAATTATGATTTTTTTTTCATTTTAATAACTGCAGGTTATAATTGTGGGCATCGAGATATCTACCACGAATACAAATATTAACCGCATGCGTTTATGCAATTTAATCTAGTGTCACATGCAAATAAATGCTGCTCTTTATTGGTTACGTCACTAGTGGACATGTGTTGATTTCAAGTTATGTACCCGATTTACACGCTGAGACTTTATGAAATGAACACAACTTATAATGAGGTATTTTCCAATATGGTCAAAACAAGTTTCATTTACTGGTTTGGTACATGTTTGGTACATGTACATTATCGTGTGGTATCCTGTAGTATGAAAGTTGGTTAAACATTGTCATTGTTGCACCTATTGTATTTAGTTAAAAACACTCGAACAATGTAATAATATGAGGTTATTGGGAGGATAACCTCAAAGTCTGCACGAAGAAGGTACAGCTGGAGTATCGACCGACGCGCAGCACGGTGTACTGTCTGAGACATTTTCGTAATAAGCTTATTATTATACATCTTTTTCTGCAAAGGATACATCATGGGAGTGCAAAAAAAAAATTTAACAGAATCAGCGAACTTCTTTGCCTGGAGCCCGGTTAAACCATGTTGGCAGCCATGTTTGTTTTTATTCTTAGAGGACGCTTACGCGCGTAATCATTCCATATTTGGAATTCCCGTTTCCTAATAGGATAGGTTGAAAATTTATGGTGTTACGGTGACAGATGTATAATAATATAAAGGATGCATAGAGAAACATCCATTTGGGTATTCACATTAAACCTACGGAATGTGTCGATTTTGGAAGGCGGCGTGCGCGACCTTATTTAATAAACACGTATATGAATTGGTGGGATCAATGATTGGATGGTACCTACGTGCAGGTGCATACAGCAAGTGACCTGATTAAACGGACACGTAAATAAAAATTAGTGGAGGCCACTGATCGGATAGTACTTACGAGCATGGGTATGCGACACACAATCAGATTAAACTGCAACTCTGTATGAAGGCCGTATAAAAACTATCTAATCTAAACTACCTATGCCTGTGTTTTTGTATGTGATTTTGAAAACATCGATGGGCTACCACCAAGTGAATGTATACGTATATAGACGACCTTGCTAACTGTGTCACCAACACTACATCTGAGGCAGTGAATCACGACGGTTACTAGACTCACACGCATGCACACACACACACACACACACACACACACACACACACACACACACACATACACACAAACTTACACAACTGGATAATCCCAATTCGGAGTGGGGGTTTATTATAATGATTTTTATTATTTTGTGCGATCTCTTTGTAATATAATATAATATAATTATTTTCATCTATATTTATTACATTACGTTGTTAGCCTGCACAGTTATTATTTTGATTGTTTAATATTTGGTTGATTTTACGTATTTCATTCAAGCCAGTTACGGCTAGCTTCGTGGAATCCAACTTTTCTAAAGCGTTTTTGGTTATAACAGCGTTGTACTCGTTGAACTTGGCTTATTTCCGTTGATGTACCCTCGTTGTTAGATAATGGTTAAACATCCTGAAATGGGTTACAAGTGATGGGTCTCGATATGGCCTGGGATAAGCAAGGAGCCGACAGAGTATATACATTTGGTTCTGGCTTTAAAACAAAGATCGATTGCGCAATAATGGTCACTAAATCTGTAATTCTTTTCTAAGCTTGACACATATCTCTCTATAATATTTTATGGTTTTATATCTGTCATAATATCTTTCCGTTATTGATCACGATTTTCTTAGTTTTTCTAGTCACAGATTGTGCATTGAGATGGATAAGGGAAGAGGACTCTGCACTTTATGTGTTTTAGCGAAAGTGGAAGACGAATATAGTTTTTTGTTGCAAATGTCCCTTATACAAAGATTTGAGATTACTATTACAAATACCCATCATTTATATATAAAATTGATTTCACTTTTCAAGTATAAATTCGCTGGTTTAAAATTGAAGGACAATATTATTTCCAAATGACTAAGGTGGCATGAACATTCTTCTGATTTTCTGAACTTCTTATATAAAGCCAAAAGCCTACAATACTAAAATATGAATATTATATTTTTAGAAATTTTATAATTTATTTGACCGTGTCCTTTGCATCTGTGTGTAAACTGGTCTCCGTAACAATCTCTCGTAACACTCATTGTAAGTCATCCATAAGTGTATAAGAGTGTGCTTGGTAGGCATAATCCACACTAGTGTGTGTAATGTGTTCGTGTCTTTATATATTTGGACCCCTCGACAGAAAAGACTACGAAATGCGTTGCCTTTTGAACTCGTAAAGTAATAATTCTACTGATCTCATCAATAGAGTGTGTAACCCTGGCTAAACTGTACCACTTAAGAGTGGTCCGTTAGCAACTGCTTTTATTTCAAAGAAATGAGTTTCGTGCACCATTTCGTCCTTGTTATTGGGTGATTATGATAATTGCTGTCGATTTCACATTAACTCTAAGCCAGTTTTATTTGATTATATGGCGATCATTCGACTTCCAAACCCTCCAAAATGAACCTCACTTTGCACAAAGGGTTTACGAAAGGTTAAAAAGGGACGAACAAAATACTTATATCTAGCTAATATAAAGTAATATAATATAAAGGAATATAAAGTTTTTTGATCAAGTATTTCATGTTTCAACGTTTCAACCTGTTATTGGTATTATATGTGTGCCTGTTTTGACTTGCGGTCCATGTATTTAAGATCACAATATAACGATAGGATTTTTTCAAATACTTTCATTGGATACAATAATGGAATCCAGTTCATCTGCCAAATTTTGCATGTGTGCTGAATCTGTTTGTCATGAGAGTGAACGTGTTGGTAATGTTCTATGCTATAATATAATTGTACATATATGGATATAATGATATAAGCTGTCATAGATTAATAATAAACACAACTGTTTTAATCGAGATTATTGGGAATAATCCACGAGAACAAAATAATTTAGTACCCAGCATAGCTTACTAGTCAAACCAGTACGAGAAAGATATATGGATCCCTATGTTTTGCATGAAGGGTCATCAGATGAAACGAGTAAATACATATCTGCTCTACATGTAGGACCAGCTTGTAGGACCCGTCATTATCTAATTTCTCACTCAGTATAGATAGCCAAGGAGTTTCTTGAGAAACAATGCACTTTTTGAAAGTCATTATATTTCTACATTTGCTTGCAAAGCATTAATATTTTTATAGTTATGTAATGTAAATGTTTTACGATTATAAACATAATTATATTATTATTTCTTCAGTGTGAATTTCGTTTTATGAACAGCAATTTCGTTTTTTGTTGCAAGATTTTGAGAAATATTAGCGTATTTGGACGAAATATTTTCCGAAAAACCATACTCTCTATAGCCTATATATAACATTCTCGTTTACTTTTCTATACAAATGTATTCCGTGTCAAGTATTTTTTCTACATTCAAATAATCTATGCCATATTGAGCACATAGCGAGTTTATTAACACGTTGCCAATAAATAATGTGTAGATGAAAACAATTACAGTGCAATTATTATTGGGTATAATGTATCTCTCAATCAGTACATATATTTTATTTTATTTGTAAAACATGTAATTAGTGGCAAACAAGAGTGTAACACAATACAAATATTTCCGTTTTCAAGGACAGCATTGACATTTAATCGTAATTCTATAATATAACCTCACATGTTACTATTCATACAAGTCTTTGAAATGTAATACAAACTGTAAATGCTCTGCACTGTGCTCCTTCTGTGGTGAATAACTATACGAAACATAAGTATACGTCTGCCATTAGCCAATAAGGAAAAAAAGACATCTGCGTACAACTTTGAAAGACCATCAATGTTATCTACTATACATAGCAATAGCCGACAAAATAACAAGTACGTGCATTTACTTGACATTTTCATTGAAAAGGTTGAGAAACCTTTTCCCTGTATGCTATCTTAAATCCATTATTAATAACGACCGGTACTTCGAAGATATGATAACAGTATCCCATTTGAAATGAAAAATCGCAGAAGAAAAAGCATAATTGCGAAAACTGCCCAGGGCTATTAAGACATTATAGTGTATGATCTTAATATACGTATAATTGACGAAAAATTGCATTTACTTGAATATGCATTATACACTATTATCCGTGTGTCAACCATTTGAAACACCGCCTGACTTATGAAACGTTCACATATTGATAAAATTACATTTTACCGCAAAAAGCATTAATAAGAAAATATTTCATTAAATGGTTCGTCATATATTTGTAATATATGTATTTATATCAGCGGAGTGTACCCTCATGCACGATGTGCAACCTTTTACATTATAATATGTCAGACATATTTTATACGACTCGCCGACTATATATAACACAGTAAGTACTAATATTGTCATAACATTGTGTAATTATGTACAAGTTTGGTCCGTCAAGACAAATTGTAATTGTGTGAGGTTGAATGTCAAAAATCAACACGTATTACCTTCACTTCACGTAGTACGGTATTTCCTATACGATGTATCTACAGGGTAATAACATACACGTCTCACATATCTGAACTAAATACAACACAGGTTACTTAAAATAATTTAGGAATAGATTACCAGTAAATGTTACAAGGTTTGTATTCACTACCATGGTTTTTAAATACCATTTTTTAAATTACAATCACCAACTGACCTTATTTACATCGTGTCATATCAATATGCGCATTCCTAATCAGTAATAGAATAATGTAAGTTCAATGTCAATGTACTTATGGGCGTACATATCTGACATTTTATACCATTCGTAGCAATGAGCAGCTGTAACAAACAACATTCTAAAGCAAATAAAACACTAAAAAAGCCAAGATACGTCCATATCAAAAATTACCCCGTGGGATGTCTAATTCTGAAAACTAATTCCCACATTTGAACAGATTACTATGATAAATCTAGCAAATATGGTATAGTTGTTATCTCTATGTGCATTTTTAGGCATTCAGTGAATAAGACTAAAGTATTATTGACAAAAATGACCCAAAATGGGGTTTTACAGGTTAAATATATTAAAATAAACGAAACCTAGCAAATATCAATAGTGGAGTAAAGTGAATATACTGCTGATATTAACAGTACAATGAAATTCAGTGTTAAAAAAACTTAAAATTGGTTTGTTGTAGTATATACGTAGTTATCCACTGTGAATAAAGCACCATTGGTCACCAAGACTCTTTATATTAGAGCAACATACACATTGTAGATGATATAAGTTACGCAACTGTACTGTTTATCATCGACACTCGTGTTCTCCCGCCTGCCCTCGCTGTATTAGTCGCATCGTATCCCGTCATTGACGAATCTTCGGCAGATACTTTTGACCTTTTGCATTTATAGAAGCATGGAAACAGTTTTCTAAATTCTTTTCTGAAACTCTCATTAAAATATGCGTAAAGTATAGGATTAATCCAGCTGTTACAGAGTATGATAAACACGCACAAATTGGAGGGTGCTATCGACCATAAGAAAGGCTCCATTGGAAAGTCTACGGTCCATGCGTAATACAACTGCAATACGTTGGAGGGAAGCCACGTGATAGCAAACTGCAACACAACAAAACTTAGCATTTTCACGGCTTTTCTCTTGTTACGGTTGCCGGAATTTGTCGGGGCTTTGCTGAACCACAAAGTGTACACCATAATAGAGTATAGTGTGGTTATTATAGCCAAGGGAATCACATACATAACAAGGAAATCGCAAACGCGCAATATTTTGTCGATTTCAAAGTCTGTGACATAGCAGAAATGGTACATGCTGTGAGCGATGATTGTCTCGTTCCCTTTCTCTATGTAAATAGTGTTGTTTTCAGATACAATTCCGACTGTTGCAAACTTGCCGCATGAATAACCCAATGCACATACCCATACTAGTATGCATCCGATAGCTGCGTGCTGGAGAGTCAATTTCGGCCTCAATGGCTGAACAATGGCTCTATAACGATCAACACCAATACAAAGCAGAGAGAAGGTTGTACCACATTGCGCCGCCCAGTGTAAGTAAGCTGTTATGTTGCACACAGCTTTATTGGATGTTTCCATGCCGTAGGCGAATGCACCGATGTGAAATGGCACAACTACGACTGCAATCAATAGATCAGACACTGACAATGATACAATAAAAATATTTGTTGCCGTGTTTCTAAGCTTAGGCTGCCGAAACACTGCTATGATGACCCATAGATTTCCAGCGATGATTAAAAACATAAACAGGACACCAAGCGACACTGTCACCTCGGGAGGTGTATCGAATGCGTAAACTTCTTCCAGAAATGCATAATAATCAAAACTGTATTCAAAATCGAAAATTGATTCGTTCACTTCCATATTGTACCTGTAAAACAAGAATATAAAAGGTGAAATGTACAATATAATTAAATGATTGATTGATCTGGCATACACTCAGCATGTTAAACGTACATGCATTTCTGATGAAATGACAACTATAAGAAACAACAACCAATAGGATTACAAGGTTGTTAACGGTCAACCAGTGCTAATTAAATCAACAATGCCAAGTCAACAATCATTGCGCAGATATCATTGCTAGAACGTTCCTGTGGAAGACTACACATACGCACTGGGTCACATACATTTAAACCATTTAAACGATAGCCATTGTCTAGTAGTCACTTGTAGTCACTGGTAGTCAGTTACCAAGCTATAGTAGCAGTCCGGACTCAGTCAGAAATAAAAAAACAAATTAACAATGTAGTTTGATAGTTTTTAAATTACTTAGAAATACAATAGGTAGTGACAAGTCAAGTCTTATCACGTTATTGGCTTATGAATGGTTTCTGTATTGTCTGACTACAGAAACACTTGTAAAGTAAACTATAAAGCAATAAAGAGCTAAATTGAGATCAGCGAATTTTACGGGGTCTTTGTTCGAGGACACAATCGTGCTGTCATGACTGTCATGCTTTACGTCAGAATATGTGTACAGCCACACTGAAGCATCAAACAACAGCAATCTGTTAACAATGACTGACTAATAACAATACCGCTAAAAATGGAATGAATAAGTATTAACACATTCTCATTTCACATATACTAGACTAGATCTAGTCAACATAACCAAATTCAAGTGAGACCTATCTTAATTGTAGGAAAACAATTAGTGTGCCTATAGTACATTCAAATCCCAACCCAAATTGTATATATATCTGAATATATCACACTGAATAATCACGTCCAAATCATACATGTACTATGGGTGAAATATTTGACCACGCTACAGCTGAGATTAAGCCAACTAATCGGTTTCGTGTCCGGAACCAACCCCAACGAGCGAGGTGCGATGAGGCGTGCAGCATAGCTTAACTAAAAATATAAATCCCTTTAAAAATTCAGACGATCAAATAGCAATAGTGACTTGACCACTTATAGAGTGACATAAAATAATTTCAAAGCATATGTAGAAATAGGAAACGGTCATTCAAACTCAAACATACATGTTGAAAAGCAATGACATTAAATCTGACCGAAGGTTCAACTACTTTATGGCATGAACAAACCAATCTCACCTGCAAATGAACTTAAAATAGCTCTAATGGAGAATTTGCAACTACAAGAAGAAAGATATGACCAGTGTATTGACAATATGCCTCATGATTTTAATGCAAATTTTAAATTGAGAAGGCTGTCAGGTACTTGCCAAAAAACAAGTTTTCGGTGAGGATACAATACAATTGACAACATTTACACCCCTCAAGCCAGGCCAATGCAGCACAATATTTTACAAAGAAAAAAAATATAAATTTTATTGTAGATTTGTTGATTTCGCAAAGGCGTTTGACAACGAGAAAGTGAAAATAGTTTTACCATGATCATGATATTAGGATGCTCCCTCAACACAAGGATCTTGGTGCAAAACTTAAACCAATCAAACAAATTCGAAAACTAGGTGGTATGACTAAATAGGAATGATTTTAATTATTTGAATACATTATTTTATCTCGGGATATGATAACGCTTCTCAAATTGAACAAGTTGAGAATCCATTTCGTAAATTTCTACTCGGTGTAAGTACTAGCTCAAGTGATGTATCAGATGTTCGCGTAAATCACGAAATAAAATACATAAACGTGACACTTTTAAAAAAGTGTGACAGTGTTCCCGAGGCTTCTCGGTTGCCGTAAACGTGTTATCACGTCGGAAATTGGGCATACAATGTAAAAATTTTGCCATTTTGCTTTGGATTCGGCGGTGCGGAGATCACAGTTCTTACAGCGAATTGAAGATTTGCGCAAAAAGCATTCAAGTCTGGCGCGACAAAACTGAATCTTCCCCAAATTCTGTTCCTATCACAAATATAAATCGTCACTTGATTAGGACAAATATTTCTCTTGCATTCATATTTCAAAATTGCGTTATTGATGTTACGTTGTTTTTCTCATAATATGCGTAATGAAAAGGAAATACATGTTCATGTGAAAGACATGTTCACCTTTATCAAAGATTGTGTGAATACTGTGTTGAACACATTTAATTTAATATTGAAGACGAATATTATTTTGGGTTTGTATTTTCCCTGCTATCACCGTGTAGTTTTGCATTAAACCGGCTTACAAATAATGTTTTAAATTTAAATTTAAACAAATTACCTAGTTATGCGAATTTTGCCATGAAAAGCAGAGACTGAATGTATGTCACCTTTATCGTTTTATAAACGTATTATATTTAAATTAAGTTGTATTAGTTGGTTATTGCAATAAACATGACGATATATTGTTTAGTTCCATATTTGGATACAGTAATTATTAGGTGCAAAATGATTTTACAATACTAGAAACTATTGTTTTGTGCATAGTATAAAATGTTCACAAAAATATGGAGATATATTTGTAATCCTATGTTTAATTTATCATGACCTGACTCCAGCACAGTGTTATATTTATATGTACATTCTTGTATAGTTTAGTGGGTGCACACTCATTGTTGATAGCTCACACGCAAACGCGTTTTCTTTTTACCATCCACAACGGTGGCGCTTTAAACAAGGTAATTAATGAATAAGAGAAATATTTTTCTGATAAAAAACGACCACGAACAAGGTGGCGAACACGTGATTTTGATGCGATAATGCCTTCAGTGAGATGTTGTGTCTTAATCAATATTTGTACACATGTATTATCAAAGTGACATGGAATGAAACTCAACGGAGCATGTGCTAAAGTGTAATCTTTCTCGTTGAAAATGCAAAACTATATACCATATAAATATGGCGAAGATATCGTATGTAATTAAATACTGCTTTGTTTAGTTATTACATAAAACACACGTAAAACACATTTAAACGAGCTACACTTTTACTCTCCACTTCAGGCAATCTGCTGCTCGGTTGTGAATAATGTGGGAACTCAATGAATACACACTGGTGCCCATGGTTACAAGACGCATTCTAATTGTGAATGAAGGCTTATCAATGGGCAAACGATAACAACCTACCGCCGTGATACGTATGACAATGAGAGTATTTATTCGTCTTTCAGAGATTATTATTTATCCCCATGGAGTATAAATAATGAGGAATAGGACGTTTGTACTAAGTCACGTGTTCACTGCATGAGGAAATCTAAATCATTCCACAAAGAAATCAGCGTGAAAAGTGACAAATGATGCAATAGAAATGAATACAAATTTTCTAGTGAATGGTTGGTTTTTACTCAAGACACATCGTGCATGACTCGACCTATAACGATAAGGTTATAATACCAATCAGTACTATAGAATACGATAGTTTTCATATTACCACAGTTACTTTGCAAGGGGTTATCTTTGAGATTACAATAACAATTAAGTTAGGAGACATCGATACATGTTTTGACTTGTGCTACTAACATTTCTTAGACTTGCATTATTCATATACCTCTGTGATGAAGCTTCATTTTGATAAAGCCTATATGTTGCATAAATAGCAATATGTGTTATAAACCCATTGCAACAATTGCCTGCAATAAGCAGATTTCCGTAGATTCGATTGTGATAAAGTATTAGCATCATATGACGCCATTAAATGAATGGGTCGCGTGTGATATTATCAACAATAAAGTGCAAACGTACAATCAGCGTATGCATGTCACTCCACTGGGTTGTATATGTATACAAGCTTATACACAAGATATATACCCTTTTATATAAATATTGAAGAGTGAGATATAAAAGCTATATGATAATTCTACACATGACATAGGTAAAATTCAAGTTCGTGGTTACGATATTACTTCAGCCTACGTACATTAACAAGACATGGTACAGCCAGTGACAACATAACACAGAACTCAAGGTATACAACCAAGAGGTGATGTCAGGTGTTCCGAAAAGAATGATTACGTCACGCACCACACGTAGCACCAGTGACATAAGTGTTTCAACAAATGTGAGAGTATATTCAAACAAAATATTGTTTCTGGAATCAAATATAAAATTACCTGTTGTATATTACACAGGGTTGTCGATTACAATAGAAATTCTGCACATGAATAAAACACAGCCATATACATATTGTCCCTCTGTGTTCAATTATTTGAAACTATCAGTTATATTACCATATTTAGGATTTAAATAACGTAAGGTTTCGGTTCACTAGATGTTCTCTATTTGCAATTTAATAACATCGTGCAGTCAATATCCTCATCCACTTGTTATGGGAGATAGAAATTCAAATTGCAAAATCATTAGACAATAATGGTTTTGAAACGACGATAGCGCACATAAGACAAATTAACACAGAAAAGGAAAAATCGTTGGCGTTGAACCCATTAAATTATTTTATACTTCAGTCATCATACCACCATCAGTGTAACGGGCGTGTTAGGTCGTTGGGAGGAAATTTGTTGTATTGCATTGAAATATTTTGTTTGTAATTTCTGTCCAATCAGTCTGTAACAATGTACCTAAGCCTTACGCATGCTATTTATATCGCAATCAATCAGGGTATAATAAAGTGCCAAACGTATACACATATAATCTTTCACATAGTATGAGAGGACGTTGGATACTAGCAGGAAATTAATATGCTGGGAAAGCGAGTCTTATTATGGAATTCACAAGACGCCCTTTAGCAATAACGGTGCACGCGATACAATCATGCCTACATGTCCCCAATTACGAGTTCCGCGGCGCTTTGTATTCGTTTTCAGTGCAACACTTATTTGAATTGTACGTCGCAACGTAGCATGTTCTATATCTCGTTCACGCTGTTGTACTGCGTTATCTGTTACGCGTGAATGGTGAATTCATATTTGAACAGCATATATGAAAAACAAACTGGTTTCATTTTTATTTCAAATACTAAACCTCACTCACTACACATAAACCATACTTGTGATGCCTACTTGCAGTGTTCCCCTGACAGTAAAGTCAGTACAGAGGTCACATAAACAATATATATATATTCATATTTATCAGAAAGGAAACTGCTAGTAATCCTTTTTTTCAAAGCATGTCGCGTTATTGAATCCCCGTCAGGTATATGTAGACAATGTCTTCTTTAACACATCTACATGCATTAAATCATATTACCCTCGCCCTCTGACACATATCTACGTTTAGGTGAAGTATGTTAATTTTATTCGTTGAGTATATTCATATTATAGTTATTTTTAGAATATTATGCTTTTGAAGAAGTTCATTATGCGAAATGAAACGTGTACAACAATTCCTAAAATTAAGCACTTACAATGTACTCGAATAAGTGTTCAATATAATCCCCAGAATAATTTTTAATTATGTCTACGTAAGGAATCCTCCGGCGTAAGCGCTTCAATTTTGTCATGTTAAACAAAATCTTCAGGATATTGATTTGTTAAGTGGGGTATTATTCACAGGCTGCTTTCATTAATACGTTCAACTTATAGTCCGATACGTGACGAAATGTTACTACTTAAATTACATAAGTGTGAAATGGGTGAAATGAACAATCTGATATCTCCTTGTACTCAAGCGAACACATATAAAACATACTTCCACAACTGAACTTACCTTGCGTCTGATAATAAATTATATTATGTTCTTAGCAACGATGTGGTTTCCCCAGTGCTGGCTCACAATTGTTCAAATATGTCGCTAACATTCCGGAACTACACACCCATTAACTGAAACTGAAGAAGTGAATTGACACGTTAATTACAGATGTTCTGTAATTAGCCACGACTGAAATGATATCTGACATTATTTTCAGTTCAATTATTATCGACATGTTGTTTTGATCAAGATTGTTGTCAAGTTGATGTCCTTTTCATCTTCTAAAAGACCAAAACTATGCAACCATGAACTTATTGTACTTGTTAATGGCATTTTAGAGCGTTTAATTGCTTTTACATCGCACATGACAACCAATTGATTTGCATTACCATACGACGTTATACATTTCATCATTATTTGACCTAAATCACATATCCGAACATGAAAACTTGTTCTGTGTCATTCACTCTCTGTTGCTAAACAACAGACGACGGAATATAAAACGTATTATCTATCAATAATTCGACATCAAATAAATACCAGAGGAAGATGAATTGCAGCGAAAATACAAATATATTGGCTGTATGGTGTGCGATGATCCATATCCCTAGCTAATGTACTCGATCATCCATAACGATCGAGTTTCACAACACAAGCCTCATTTCTCCAAGTTGAACGATGTGCCTCGTTAAAACACGTCTTACACTACATAAATAAGTTCGGTTCAAAGGTGTTTGCGTTACCAATACATGAGGTTAGTATATTAATAGGTGTAATCAACTTGAAATACATAAATACTGCGTTAGCAAGATAGTAAATAGACCTTATGCACTTTCCCCCCTCATAGGATCATACATCTCAATCATAATGGAATGGTTGGCAATACCGGATGTGCTGGAATTCACAAACCACTAACTGTCCCCCATCCGAATAGCATGTTTGCAAGAAAAACGTTTCGCATTTTGCCGCCGTTGATGTCTCCATAGCAACTTGTTATTGTGAGTTAACCCCTCCATGACTTTAGTCCTCAAATCCCGCGTATAATCTGATTTATCCATTAATGCGGTAAAAATTTCTGATCGGCACGTCATCAAGGAAAGTATAATCAGTGTGCTAATGGCTTGATTTACATGTCACTTTCTACGCCAAGCTAAGTTCAAATTCTCCTGCGAATATTTAAAGCCAAGCGTACATATGGGGATATGGGGTATGCAATCAAATATAATCTTTTATATTACCTTAATGCATTGAAATATCGTGATACTACTTTGAAAATGATATTTACATGAAGTGCATGACAATGTTCCTGACTACATTACCGTAACTACGATTGCAAGCACCTAGCCTTAAGACAGAACCTGTTAGACTGCGCCATAAACAGTACCATAAAGGCAGTGCATGTGAACAGTACCATAAAGGCAGTGCATGTGAGCAATACCATAACGGCAGTGCATGTGAACAGTACCATAGGACAGTGCCATGGCACAGGGTGAATTAGACAGCTCCATAATACATGGCATCTAAATTTAAAAAACAGTATCATAAAGAGACAGTGTCTGAAAACAATGTCATTAGCAATTAACACAGGAAAGTGACAAACCACAGTATAATGAGTCAGTGTTTACAAGACAGTGCCAGCATGCTGTACCGAAAAAACATACCTACTGTACAAGACAGTCACTGTGATTCACTAATATATTTCCCTAATTGTATGCGTTCAATAACACAATTCGATGGAGACTCTCCATTTGTATACAGTAAAATATACCAATAACTCGCATAAAGACCAAAATGTTGGCCATTGCGTGTCTCATAAGATCTCGCTGAGGTGTGAGAAACCAGGCAAATGTCATTGTTCTTTTTACAACGCCACTGACACTCAATTCGTATGTGTGTTTACCTACATCAGCGAACTGAATTGACACTCAACACATTTGCTGTTGTCGTATTTTTCGGCATATAAAGGTGAGTGATATCATACCACGTGCTAGGTGGTAGATACATAGTATTACACTAGATCAAACGATCATTTATTGTTGTGGGAATTATTGCGACAAACACATGTGATCACAGGGTATTCATCCGGAACTATGACCAATGCCACAATCACAATCTTGAGATTCGCCAGAAATGTGGTCAAACATCGAAAACTTGTCTAAACCTGGCCAATTACTATAACCGCAATTCGACCTATCACTATAAAATACAATAAGTGTTAATGACGTCGGTGTTCTTTTACACAATCACAAATGTGTCATACCACAACATAATCATTTAGTAGCTGGCTATCGAGTACTATGGTATATGATTATATTAAAAAAAACGAATGATGTAAGCATATACTTAGTAAAACGTTGAAGTGACTTAACTGTTAACGCCGAGTGTAGGGTAAGCTTTTCAACCCAATCACTTTCGTGAAGAAAACAAAATAAACCATTCCTCGTAATCTGTGAGACTAGGGACATTGCCGGGCTGTCAAACCTTGCCATGTCCGTTGATGAAATTGATCTTGATTAAACTGCGATATGTCTGTTTCACTTTTATTACGATACGCATTGTACTTACTGCACTATAGTAAAGTAATTAGGTCTACACGGCCCACTTATCACGGTTACGCATATATAAAGAATTTTAATTATAGAAAGGTCAACGTAGTGTCTTAGTTAAACTTTTCAAACTCCTTCATTCAGTAACGTTTACTTGTTTGCCATGACTCGGTGGCATATAATATTCTGCGATACTTTCATCAATGGACTAGGTGCTGAATTCGGTCAAGGAAATAATTGGTCGATGACAATGATTTAACGGAAAATGTAACAGTTGTTAGACCTGGTAAAAATTTAGAGGTGTTTCCATTGAAGCCTCCGCTTGATATAGATCACGTAACACGCGACAGAGTGGCACAAGGTTTTGTGTTTATAGTTCCATAGCGTCCATGTAAGTCATTTCTCTGGAATACACGTGTCATTGAATGAAACCGCCAAGTTAGGAAAACCAATATTCGCATCAATATATGTGGGGTCATATGATTTGAAAACCTTTTCAATTTCTTCATCTGAAAAATGCTGACTTGCTGGTATTTGACAATGACAAGTTGAATGGAAACGTTTTAGAATAGACTAGTGATTATCGCTGTTCAGTGACACCGACACACAAATCACTAACCTGTCAAATAAAATAATGTTGAGGACACGTTATAGCAACGGCATTCTCTACCACACATCGTTAAAGATGTCGTATAATATAAATAATGTGAATATCCCAATTTCGGAATAACACGCTAGCAATGAAAGTATAATAATTTTGCTGCTAACCGTAAACGTCCGACTGTTGGAAATTATATTATGAAGCAATCACAAATAAACCGTCCAACACCTATACCAATATAAATACATAATTATTACGAACATATAAACATGCAAGATAATATTCGAACGCACGACTACGACAATGTACCTTTCCTCAGTAAGCATGCAATTCTACCGATTCACAATTATTCTAAATAAAAAAATGACTTTACAAAAATCATTCAAACACAATGTATATATCATTATTATAATCATAATCATATCATTACGAATATAAATCAAGAGTAAAACAAATTACCATTCATGAAACGTTCGTATTGACACTCTCCCACTGACAGTACATATTTTATCCCATATTTGACGACTCAGTATGTATCAGTCTCTCCACGATTCCCCTTCTCAACTGCTATAATGATCCGCGCGTCTATGTGATGTGCATAGTACGTTCTCAAGAACAATATTATATTTCCAACGGAAATGACGTAGTATGTTTTCATTTGCATATGTATTCCTAAATATGACGCAATATCACGACCATTGCCGTTGCATTTAAATATTTAGTTTACCTGGTCTGGTGTTGCCTGTACGATTTCAAAAGAAAATATAGCATAATTGACATAAATTACACGTCGCAATGTCACCGGTTATTAAATTTATTTGCGTGCCAAGTTGTCATTATTTTTGAATGATAGAATTCCTTGTTGAATTGGATACCAAATCCTGTACTGTAGCGTTATGACCCTGTGTCACTGAAATTAAAACTAACTTTCAAATTGGCCACATTCGTTCCTTTTACAATGAACGTGACACACAGTTTATCTCGTATCCGAAAATAATTGGACGCCGCGATGGTAATAACATTGAACGTCAATCAGCACAATCCACAGTTAATTGAACAGATTTGGCATCTACGTCTTGGTCGTCTGTGACACTAGAAGAGATAAAACTATTCCAGGAGATGCGAAGGTCTCATCAATGGCTGTAGTACATTGTTGTTTTCATCTGAGGATGAAATCCAATATCTTGTTTTTTTCTGCTCAGGCTATCCCCGTTGCAGTCGTTTTCACACATTGTAAATTGTAAAAAGACTAAATTGTAAATTCATATTACTAATAATTGCTGTCAAACCCGCAGTTGCAAACCTCAGCTGTTCTAGTTATATGATAACTATTATACTTTGGTTCTTATATAATATTATCCGATTTATCCATTATGGTTAAATACGTTTTGCACTTTATGACTTGAAGGCATATTTGTGGTGAAAGTACTGACGAATATGCTCATTAGGGTGGTTGCATTGTAGCCTGTGAAAATATTCGAACCAATGTGTTTCTGATTTCGGCTTTGAGAGATAAAGTTGCTGTACTGTAACGAATTCAACGGAATTGCGTTCATTCTAATTACTGAACATATTACTCGGCATTAATATAGTGCAATATAAATTTATCATTCTCGTATATCTGGCGTGACATAATAATGACGTAATGAAAATATATGCACCATTTGTAATTAATAATTTTACAATTAAAACATTTTGGAAAAAATTATTGGTGTTGATCGAATGAAACTATGATTTGTATTTATTGATATTTTAAGGATTTTACTCAATTTGATTGATATAAAAACATACTGAAAACCATTTCTAAGTGTGGGTAGCTACTCCGTAGGAGTGCACTAATATTTCACTCTTGCGTAGAAATTACACGTATATGTGAGTTCATTATTTGTCATCAGTTTGAATGTCAAGACATCCAGTATAAATATTGGCTTCCGAATCCAATTAGATATATAGTGAAAAAACAGCCAATTATACCTTGACAGTGAAATACACGATTAGCGATGTGTATGTCCTCCTATTATAATGTTTCTGATACACATATACTAATCGCCAAATGTGTATTTTAGCACACTGTGATATACGTGGGAATAATAATATTGAACATTATTCGGCACCCTTAATACAACCTTATGATAATTAATGTGCACCACTTCAACGCCTACATCAATGGAAATACGGCGAACGGTCTTGTAGGTTTACAATCACTGTTTAGCAGTGCAACAAATTACTTCTGGGCGCAATCGCCTATTTGTGATTTCATAATGTATATATTATGTTATTTATTTTCATATTAATATATATATATATATTGTTTTATTATTTTACGTAGCTTATCGATGAACAATTGAAACAATATACCATGTGCGACACATGTGCCAATTGTACATAAACTCCAAGTAGCAGACCAATTTCTTTGCGTTGTCATTCTCATACGAATGAGCGTTCGAGACACGGCGACGCCTATCGCATGTTTCTACGTTTCAATTTAAGACACACATGTACTTTTGTACGATTTGCCACTTAAATGAACTAATCTATGACACAATTATGTTGTCGTTATGCCTGTTATGATTCTGACTTATATATAGCCGACTTCGTTATTTTTGTTCATATATATTTGATTCAAACACGTTGTTACCAGGCGTTGACGAAGTATATACCGTATTTGTGAACAAGATATAATTACGCTATCTTGATTAGATTTATCATTTTTTTACACAGTCGTGGTTTACTTATGTAGAGGTTTAAAACAAAATAATATTGGAATAATATACTACTGGCGCTGGGCTTGTTGCAATTTGTCTGTTTCACTAAAATATTCAACTGAAAGTAAATGTATTAAATACAAAACACGAAAGAAATATGAACCTAAACACGTTTCGCATATATATCGTTTCCTCTGATGATTCTATATACTTTCAAGATCTACGGCGTTGTTCAAAAATTGGAAGAAACAAATCATTCTCCGCGACTTTGACAGGGCGTTAAATTCCTAAGCTATATCGGGTCACGGCATTGACATTCACTTGTAAATCATGCTGTCACACACTATCAATAACGCTAGGAATATAAAGTAGGCAAATGTTCTCTATCTAGCAAAAGGACCATTATACTTAAGTCTAAGATGCACTTGCGGGTCAATACACTTCGATCTTAAGAGACGTGCTTGACGTTGTTCGGTGTATTTGCAAGTGTCATCATGCATGTGTCTTTTCTCAGATGCATCTCAAGGACAAATCCGTGGTTAATGTCAAACATTACTGTTGACACTTGTGGCGATTGTATTCCCATTTCACGTGCATCAAGCAATAATCTCCATATTTTACAGTGCTGTTGTCACATGAATGAGTGACACACACACACACAAATCATTTTTCGAAACTAAACGGAAGAGATCACCCGTGGCGCTCAATTTACCAGTCTGTTCTTTGAAACGCATACAAGCAATAATTGCATATCGGTGGTGTATGTATAGTATTGTATTTCAAACGCAATAAGCAATTTCCCAATAATTGGCTTAGTGTGGTCATAGTTTTGTCACTATCAGCTGATTATATAACCCACCTACGAAAGTAGTGATATCATGCTTCCATTCAGTGGTCTGCATGTTTTTCACATAATTTCGATTTTGTAATAAAAATACTTTCATTGAAAATACCATGACTTTAACAGTCTTACAATGCCATAAGCAGTATTTAATAACTTGATATTATCGGTTCTTGTATTCACCCTGTATTGGAAACGCGCATTTTTGATCAATAATGCACACGCAAAAACAAGTTGAATAATTGCAACTAAACGTACATCGCGGAATTCAGACACACACTTATCTTTCTATATTCATGCAAAATGCACTTTCTTGGAAATTTCACAAGATAGCCGATATTAAAATTGCAATTGACATCGTAAAGTTAAATTTATTAGGAAAACATGTTCATTAAATACTAATCGTTATCAACTGACTTCAAATAAAAATAAACTAATTGTATTTCGATGTTCTAATTAGACTAATTAGACTATAAACTAATAATAAAATGATTTTTCATAATCATTTCAAATCTCGAAACATAACGTGCAATAGTGAACCATGATTGAATAAAAAACGGCGTCAGTTGTCAAGTTATTATAGCAATTATTAAATTCTATAGTAGTAAATCATAACATGAACACGCACAGCATTATGTAAGCACTAAGTTTATACAAAAAAAATGCCATTACATTAATCACACGAGACTTTATACCACCCTGTGAATTGCTGGCTTTGCCAATGTGTACTTGGACAAAAATGTCTATTATGAGAAAACTAAAACATGGAGCAGATATACACGGCGTTCAATTGCAATATAACCAACAATTCTGCAAAACTTGGACGATACCATGCACAAATTTTTCAAATAATTCGCCTATAATATCAATTATTTTATAAAATGATCATAATTGTAGAATCGTATATTAAAACGACGTCAGTGTAAGATAAAATACCGTCATCGTATTAGTACTTACTTTGAAAGATTGCCCGAGTATCACTTGTCCGTCTGAGTCACTACAAATGAACGTCTGCAAACAGGTACGGAAGATATAAAGCCGGTAACCATAGCAACGACGACAAACCGATGTGATTGGTTTGGCTGAATATGAAGAGTTAAGCTGTGTTGCCTGTAAAGTATAGTAACAAAAACAACATCAAATAGTATCCATAGTGATTTTCGAGACACAATTCCGTACTATCTTCGAATTTAGAAGATATACCTAATTTTGGACTCAATGATAAGCTCGAATCTGATGCTGAAAAATGTATTGTTCGCTGGTAAAGCTGCAGGGAAAATATCACGAATGTACTTAGTGAATAATAGTATATGCAGTATTCCTTCACGCTGTGATTGAAATGCCGTTCTGAATCATTTATGATTTTAGTGAAAACGTGATTATGGAAATAAATGATATGGAACCATTTTGTTGAGTTTAATGCTTCTTTTCAGAGTACTTGATTGTTGTTACCATATTATAGTATTACATAGCTGACTGTGAACTGCTGTTCCATGCACAGGACAAATGGGTGACGAGTGGACGACTATTACAGATAAGGCACGATTGTATTTCTTTCAGTTTTTCTAATTTTCATATTTCATATTTGTGGTAATAACAATTCTAAGTACTTTTATAATAACGAATTACTCGGCGCATGCTTTGAATTACAATTATCCTTTTCAGTTATAAGTCGGGCCTCATTACAATTATCATCTGAGCTTTTACTAGCCAGAATAGGATGTGACTTTATAACTATAGACGGGATATGGAGATACAGTGTAGGCCAAGGTTTGTCTGTAATTTACACACTTTCATTCCATTGTCGCACAGTATATGCAATACTACAAATGGTTTAATGGAATTCGTGTTACAGTGTTATCTGTTGTATAGCATTTTATCTCATAGCGCCTAAGACATATTTTATACACGTGTTCTCCACGCAAAGTTATTTTCTAAATTTCAATATAGTGTGGCGACTGAACAACGCAAGTAAATAATTGTTGTGAAAGATGATTAATTATAATTGATGAAACTGTGTGTACTTCATTGCTCATAATGTGGGTAAATTATATGAAATATGAGAAGCAATGTACAAATAACATTCCATATTTGGACAACGCCACTTTATCAACGATATAAGACCATTCGGATATTTTTATTTTACACGTACTCAGACATTATTGAATGATGTTCGTTGATGTTTTTTATTTTTAATATACTAGTACCAAGTACGATAGTTTTGTAATTCCCAAAACAAAAATAATATTGCACAATTTAATTACCTTATAATTGTATATTTTCAATTCTGCACTGAAATTAATTTTATATAAATAAATTTTGTACGGATTAGATGGCATGAGAATCAGTTGTTTTTGTATTGCTTAAGACCCATACATATATCCATATATTTCTTTGATGCTGCATTGCACTGCAATCGTTTGTCTATTACATATTTGCCCTGGGTTTGGTGAGTTTACCTTATTAGTTTTCGATCAGTATGTTGAACATTTTCACTTTCTTAGGAATATCTTTATTTGTTGTGGACGTTGTCCAATATATCTCACCAGGCCACCACACATCCCACATATCCTAATCCCTTGGCAATAAATCGCACCTTCACTAAAGGTCAAATAATGAGTGATTATATGAATATGCAAATTTATTCAATCAATATTTACTAACACAGCCTCTCTTGATTTAAAGCAGCTGACATAAAGAATTAGTCTTATAATGTACATTGGGATTGATGTACATCGATTTTAAGTCTTACAATAAATCAAAATTGTTAAATGTAATCCACCTGCTCATTATTTCGAATACACACTATACAACGGTATGTGCTGATTCACAACAACAATCCTCGTTTTGGGTCGCACCCGCTCCCCTTGTCACACCGATGGCAAGCCATAGTGGTTAAACTGAATCTAGTTTACAAATGTTATTCACGAATGCATTAAGCATGATGGCTGTCCTATTCAAACAATGTGTACGGGTTATGTATTCAATGTTCAAATAGTCAAAAATCAATACACTCGTCGTCATATAGGCATAAATAAACCATCGTCGTTCTGTGGTCAGGGTAATGTGTGATACTACATTTCAAGTGTATAGTAATGAAGACAGTTGTTTCGTGTTTAGTAAAATGATTAATTATGTAACTGACTGACAACTTAACCAGCGAGTCGATCAATATATATTTCAACATCAAATATGCTCACGAGTAGACGCTAATAATTTTGATATTGTAATTTAAATTTATATAACAAAATTGGTTAAATCGTAAATTCATGTAATAAATGATAAAACAGTAAATGTATATTTTTTACATAAGATCATTTACCTTTTAGTGGTTTTCTAGTTCCCATTTGAAAATATTTCTCTTATTAGTTTTGTATTAGTATGTGTGGCATGTAGTATTATCGCAGACTGTTTTGTCGTTGATCAGTTTCCATTGAACTTCATAGTGTTGAGTTTAACTAGAATTGTAAGATACTCACCAAAAAGTACTTTAAACTACCGTCTATCTATGTTGGCATCTATATTCATCCGTGTCAGCCAGACACGCGACGCACATTGACAGTGTCAACACTGTCAGATGTAGACAACTCAGTACGTAATTTGAATGTTGATTTGATAATTGAAAAAAACTCCTTCAACACTGACACACTTAGTTGGTCACATAATTACATGCGTGAACACGCTAGTGATAACGTAATCATAACATCTACTTTCAAGTCTTTGGTCAGTCGGGTTAAGAGGTAAATAAGCGTGACGATGGAGCTCAATGAGACATGTTTTATTGTGTCATGCAATTGTGCGTGGTGATGCATTGTGATTAGGTTATACACAGTTGGTGAACACATGTCATTCCATTCAGTACGTTAGTACATTAAAGGAACATTGTCTTCATGAATTCATTATTGCACAGTAATTAAGGAGGGTTTTTGAAATGTTTAATTTGTATTTTTTATCGGTACTTCCGTACCGTAGCATCGAAAATTTGGCGCATCTGCAGTGATACAAGTTCAATAAGACAAAGCAAGCCAGTGATATACGGAATACAAACTTATTGTTATATTATGCTTTGGCAGGCTGGTTGAGATTTCATCTCTTGTTATCTGACATAATCGAGTTATTCGAACCTGGAAAGGATGGTAATTGCATTAAAACGACCCTGTAAATCGTTACCGTGGTAACGAATTTGCCTGAAGGTAATGCATAAGTTTTATATACACATACAGCTTCAGGACATCACTGGCATGAATATAATCAACATGTTTGGGTTTTTTTAATCATGAAATTGTGTGATTTATATATCAGCGAAACATTTTTGAACATACAATTATACTATTGAGTACCTATAAGATTAAATGAGATACTGGCATTATAAAGGTCTGTTTATGAAAATAATATGTCTCCAAAAGGCGGAAAACACAAGTATCTGCCACAAATGCACAACTGTGATATGTTATTTTTGATTTAAACTTGCACTGAGACACTTAATACTGTCGATATATTTAATGCAATTCGACATGCATTAAAATAAATGAAACATATTCAATGGATGATCTCTCATATATAATATTTCTTATCGAAATTACGAATGCATAAATGGTTCTACTGTGATTGACTAGACATACAGAAGTGTTGGACCAGTTATTTTGTTGACAACGACTCACAACTTCCCTACTTAATACATTTCTTATTGTAGAGCCACTCATGGGAAGTCCTCTGTGTATGTTCCATCAACGTTCACAAACCAACTAAGACATTATTCACAACAACAACAACAACGTCTTCTTCTAATGTAGCGAATAGCGTAGGAAATAAACCCCTTATACGTTGTGAAATTAATTTAAAATATCGCTGTAAATTATGGAAGGAAAATTATGGTTAATTCTTGATTTTATGTTGTCATAGTGTAGTAAGTCTACGATTACAGTTAAGTTCTAGGTAAATATTCATTCATATTCATATATATATATATATATATATATATATATATATATATATATATATATATATATATATATATATATGCAACTTGAAGATAGAATGATAATACAGATCGCTATATTCAGTTTCGTATTCATTTTAGTCTATTTCTTTGTACCTGTATCAGTTTTTATCAATTCAATTATTGTATTAGCGTGTTTTGTGTTTGCCCTGAGGTTTAAGTGATCATATTCAAGTTTACTATCATTTACAAATGTACGGTATTCATCAGATATTCCATTATTTCAATATAATGGTGTAAATCCTACTTTTGGTTGAGGAGTTTACGTGACATAGAAGCCTTACCAGTTTACTTACAGAATAAAACCCCCGAAAGACCATATTATAATCTAGCGTCCACGGATGTGTCGAATAACATTGATTAACAAATATGAGTGTGTACGTTTTGGTTTTATATAACACAGATTAGAACTTAGAATTTCGAAACATTTGGGTTTATACACTACTGGAGACAGTACAATTATACTTTTGGCGTTCCGCTATAATTTAACCTTAATACAAAATATATCTTCATTACCAATATAATGTGGTGTATTCTTTAAGTTCAAGTGTAACTGTTGGATACACTGAGAGTGTCAGTTTGCGCAGACAAAAATACGATGTGTTACCTGAGTAACATTACCGTTAAATAGTGAATGATTTTGCTACAGTGGACTAATTGTGGAAGAAGACTTTCATGGGTGTCTAGAATTCTTAAAAGTGGTGTATTGTTAAACCTCAGGGAGTATTCGACAGGAACAAAGTGATTGCCTTTATCGATTTATACTTTGTAACAATTAAATCATGATTGTGCTTTTCTGACTAGGAGTTAGTTGTTATTATTTGAAGGAACTCAACAACTAAGAGAAACCATATACTTTCACAGAACTGCTACACGGAAATTAATTTGTCGTTAAAATGTTATCATAATTCTTCGCCATTTTGCTTCGTACATATATATAGAGCCACGACACACACACATATATACATATGATTATATATTTCATAATATCG